GGGCTGCCCTGTTGTCAGCTCTCCAACTATGTTTGTGAAGAGATGGAGAGACCCTCTTGGGGCAGAGGTGCGATGTCACGAGAGTTCCCTAGGCTAAATTCAGAAGCAAAAACTGTTCTCCCTTAGCCGAAGGGGGCTTGACTTTTCAGATCACTTTTCTCTGGAGAGATCTGAAGCATTTTATAAACATGATCGCTTTGGTTCTGACAGTTGCTATGTGAAGTGAGTGACAACTGTTTGAGCAGATGTTGAATCTCCGGCCCAGGTGGACTCAGGTCAAAGTCAGTGCTCTCACGGAGAGGCCTAAGGCCCTAGTGTTAGAGCAGGGATCACACTGCACTAAGCCCCTCTGGGGAACTGTGGAATAAGATGTTAGACCATAAGAAGATGCATGGATCAACACTCTCCCTCCAAAAAGCAACCAAGCAAAGCTTGAGGTGCTAGAGGTGGCCTCATCTGCAAGGAAATGGGAGCCACCATATAAAAAAATGCTTAATTTTCTGGGAGGAAATGGATGCATGTTTTCAGAGCAAAGGGAGCATCTGTGCTGGTTTGTGTTGTTCTGATCATTACTGTGGATGTGGTGCAGCAGTGATTAAGGCAATAGCTGCCTGTCACCCCCAGAGTCTAAACCAGTGGTGTGTCCTGTCCCTCTGAGACAAGCAGAGGCATTCCTGTGTAGCTAGGACCCAGGGCACACAGGAAATGACACTTCTGCATGTCTTATCGCTATGGAGAGTGATTTCACCCAGATAGCTAACAGGACATAGACCCACGGTTAAATGTCCTTCATGTCTGTACCAGGGTGCTTGCTCTTCCCACCCTACTGGCTGATACCTGGTCCTGGGAGCACTGGCTCCCTGCTTGTGTGAACCACACTTCACTGGGCAACTTGGAGTTTCAGTGGGTTATCTCCAGGCCCTCGGGGCTGTAAATGTGGTCACAAGCAGTAAATACAGAAGGGAATAGAGCATGCGGGCATCCCTGACATGATACTGCTTAGAAAAGTAAGCTAGCTGTGTTTTAGAGACTAGAAAGTGAACCAGTGATCTCTCCGTGACGTGGGAGTGAACAGATGTACCCACAGGCTGGCCGGAGGAGGAGCTGCACACACCTGGGTGTGCTTGCCATTGACTTCTGAGCTGCTGTGATGGTAAGCGGTGGCTGTAACTG